GTGGGCATACTTATTGCCCCCTGGCTGGGCGCCTGACGAGAGGGTAGCCTCCCTTCGCCTTCGGGTGGGGGGACGGGTCCTGACTGTTGTTTGTGCTTATGCACCAAACAGCAGTTCAGAATACCCACCCTTTTTGGAGTCCTTGGAAGAGGTGTTGGAGAGCACACGTCCTGGGGACTCTCTTGTTCTGCTGGGGGACTTCAATGCTCACGTGGGCAATGATAGTGAGACCTGGAGGGGCGTGATTGGGAGGAACGGCCCCCGATCTGAACCTGAGTGGTGTTTTGTTATTGGACTTCTGTGCTTGTCACGGGTTGTCCATAATGAACACCATGAGCTTAAGGGTGTCCATATGTGCACTTGGCACCAGGACATCCTAGGCTGCAGTTCGGTGATCGACTTTGTGGTCGTGTCATCGGACTTGTGGCCGCATGTATTGGACACTTGGGTGAGAAGAGGGGCGGAACTGTCAACCGATCACCACCTGATGGTGGGTTGGCTCCGCTGGTGGGGGAGGAAGCCAGTCAGACCTGGCAGACACAAGCATATAGTGCAGGTCTGCTGGGAACGTCTGGCGGAATCCCCTGTCGGAAGGAGCTTCAACTCCTACCTCCGGCAGAACTTCGCCCATGTCCCGGGGGAGGCGGGGGACATTGAGTCCGAATGGGCCATGTTCTGCGTATCCATTGTGGAGGCAGCTGACTGGAGCTGTGGCCATAAGGTGGTCGGTGCCTGTCACGGCGGCAATCCCCGAACCCGTCAAGCTGAAGAAAAAATCCTAATGGGCCTTTTTGGGCTGTGGGACTCCGGAGGCAGCTGATCAGTACTGGCAGGCCAAGTGGAACGCGGCTTTGGCGGTCACTGAGGCAAAAACTCGGGTATGGGAGGAGTTTGGCGAGGCCATGGAGCATGACTTCCGGATGGCTTTAAGGAGATTCTGGTCCACCATCCAGCAGCTCAGGGTGGGAAAGCGGTGCAGCATCAACACTGTTCATAACTTTTATGGACAGAATTTCTAGGCGCAGCCAGGGCGTTGAGGGTGTCCGGTTTGGTGACCTCAGGATTAGGTCTCTGCTTTTTGCAGATGATGTGGTTCTGTTGGCTTCATCTGACCGTGACCTTCGGCTCTCACTGGAGCAGTTCGCAGCCGAGTGTGAAGCGGCTGGGATGAAAATCAGCACCTCCAAATCCAAAACCATGCTCCTCAATTGGAAAAGGGTGGAGTGCTCTCTCCGGGTCAGGGAGGAGGTCCTTCCCCAAGTGGAGGAGTTCAAGTATCTCAGGGTCTTGTTCACGAGTGAGGGAAGGATGGAGCGGGAGATCGACAGGCGGATCGGTGCGGCATCAGCAGTGATGCAGGCCCTGCATCGGTCTGTCATGGTGAAGAAGCTGAGCCAAAAGGCAAAGCTCTTGATTTACCAGTTGATCTACGTTCCTACCCTCGCCTATGGTCATGAGGTGTGGGTAGTGACCGAAAGAACAAGGTCACGAATACGAGGTCGAAATGGGTTTCCTCTGTAGGGTGGCTGGGCTTTCTCTTAGAGATAGGGTAAGAAGCTCGGTCATTCGGGAGGGACTTCTAGAGTAGAGCCACTTCTCCTCCGCATCGAGAGGAGCCAGATGAGGTGGCTTGGGCATCTGGTCAGGATGCCTCCCTGGTGAGCTGTTCCGGGCATGTCCCACTGGGAGGAGGCCCCGGGGGAGACCCAGGACACACTGGAGAGACTATGTCTCCTGACTGGCATGGGAACGCCTCGGGATTCCCCCAGAGTTGCTGGACGAAGTGGCGAGGGAGAGGGAAGTCTGGGTTTCCCTGCTTAGACTGTTGCCCCCGCTACCCGACCCAGAAAAGCGGTATATGATGGATGGATGGATGAACCAGACACATCTGGAAATGCAGGTAATCCCCAAGGAGGATAACACATCGATGGCCTATGAGTCAGTGTATGGTACTGTACATCCCCAAGATGGGGGGTGTAAATTTGGTTTCCATTCACATCGCAAACACATGCTGGTTTAAAGTATCTGTTAGTGAGCGTACCAGCAAGACTAGCAACCCATTGTGTGTAGCATGTTTTCTGTGATACTGTAACTGTGATTAAGAAATCATTGAGAATTTGTATCCATGTGTTAATATTTTCACTGAAAGAGCGATGCATTCCTTTCGTTACAAGCTGGGTCAAAATGTGTGAGGTATAATGGTGTTTCTTTCGAGTAATGATATGTCTATTTAGTGTGCAGGGCTCAATTTTTCCTTTAGTTCACCTCTTTATTGGGAGATGCATTTGCACTGTGCAATTAACACTGATAGCTACCTACGATATGCATGTCTTCAATTCAAGGTGTGAGACTGCTCTGATGCATTAAATGCATGCATTTTTATGCAGCCCTTTTGAACAATTATTAAACACACTGTGTAGCACTTTTCTGAATCCCACCCCTGTCCTGTGTGTGTGAAGTTTGCAGGCTCCCTCCCACAGTCCAAACTTGCAGTTAGGTGGATTGCTGTCTCCACGTCGGCAATAGTGTGTGGGTTGCTCCTGAGCCAGCCAGAGGTGCAGCGACAGGACAGGCAGGGCAAGTAATGAGCTGGGGCCTGAGCTGGGAGGGGCCCCCAAGGGGGGCCGATTACATAGTACATTGCAACGACAAATCTGCTTTATTTGTGTATTCTATTTTTCACAAAAATAAAAACGAAGGTCTTGTGTTTATAATATTCTTTGTTATTATTAATTTACACTTCACAATAAAATAAAAGTAATAAACTTTACCATGCCAAGGAAAGGGGGAGTTGGGGGGGCCATGGAGTTTTTCGCCTAGGGTCACAGAGTACCTAGAATCGCTTCTGGAGCCTGGCCGTAAGCTTGTGTGTCATGTATACATACACCATACATACACCTTTATTGGGAGGTTCTGACTCAGATACAAACTGATAATAAATGTATACTGCTCTTTTAATGCAGGAGTTTGGTCCTTCCCTCAGCCTGTATCCTCTTCAATTTCTCACTGCTCCACCTGTGAAGATAGATATTTTGAAACATCTCCTTAAGGGCATCAAATAGAATGGGTCTTCTTAATTGGTGCGTGCATAAGATCCTGAACACATTATGCCACCTAAAATACATGTATACCACTGAACAGTTAAGAGAATGTCCAGTTCTGCTTAATGATAAATTTCAGTGTGGTGTGTTTTCAGTCATGTTTCCTATTCAGTTGAAACAATACAAGATGAAAGATCACATAAATGTTGCAAGTTTCAAATGGGAGGAATTCAGTGTGCCATATAATGAATAGTGATGCAAAAATTACAGTATATAAAGGAAATAAATTTGAAACTGTAGTTAAGTTACAAGTATTAATGGCCAATAATGGTCTACGATTGCATTTAATGTGACTTTGTCTCCAGAGCGAAGTCTAATTTCCCATTGTTACATATACCAATGAGCTACAATATTATGACCACCTCCAGATGAAGTGAATAATAATGACTATCTCATAAAAACTGTGCATGTGAAGGTCTGGGATAGATTTAATGGTAACTTAACATTAGGCACTCATAGTTAAGATGACGAATCAGAAGAAATGATCAGGGATAATGATCTGAGCGACTTTGACAAAGACCAAGCCATTATGGACTGACAACTGAGTCAGAGCATCTCCGAAATGACCAGGCTTTGGAGTGTCTGTGGTCAGCTGTGGGGGGCACCTACTGAGAGTGGTCTGTGGGGGGCACCTACTGAGAGTGGTCTGTGGGGGGACAGACCATGAACTGCTGAGCAGGGGTAAGTTTGCCAAATTCTCCTATTAGCAACTTACATAGGTGGAACTGTTCAGTCGCATGGTTCCAACTATGTAAGCCGCTGTTGTTGTTAGCAACTATGCTTTTGGGAAACATACTCCAGGTGTCCATCAGCACCCCACAAGCTTTGCCGTTTCAGAGATGCTCAAAGTCACCCAATTCTTTACCCCTGTACATTTCTCCTGCATATTCTGTCTGTGGGAACCACTAAGGAACTGGTCAAATCCACCCCCCACCCCCACCCCATTCAATTTGGGGTGATAATGAAAAGGTATTAGGTGAAAAATATATAACACATTTAAATGACTATGCTGTCATTGCATAGAACTGAACTGTCAGACTTAATGTTAAACTGTAGAAAAATGATTGCATCGTTTTTGGCTACAAGATTTAAAATTATCCTTAATGTGAATAAAATGGCAAAAAATACCTTTACTCAAACTATATATTTATTAAAGTTTCATTTTTGATTTAAAGACTAAATTAAAATATTTTGAATCATAGCAATCGTGCTGTTGAATTTGACCTTCATGTGACGTGAATTTGAGGCGAAATGAGCTGAACAGTGAAATGTTGCTATTTTGGCTGAAACCTGGTTTCCTGCAACCTGAGTTAATGTCCATGAAGGCTTTCAGATACCTTAGTGCCGGCCTGGCCATTTCATTGTCTCTCATTCTGCAGGAATGATCATTTGATCGGGCTCAGGGCTTCCGCTCATTCCCCATTTTATAGACTCCTGTAGTTAAAATCGCAGTTATAGGATACATCCATCCATCTTCCAACAACTTGTCTTGGTCAGGGTCGGGGGTGGGGGGCGAGTCTTATCCCAGGCAGCACAGGGCTATCACTGGTGTTACGTGATACCTACACAGTAATGTGTGGCCAAATTTCTTTTAACTCGATTCTGGTAAGTCATTTTCAGTCTTTAGTTTCAATATGGTTCATCTCTTTCCCATAATTACTGTAATATTTAAGTCCTGCCCTTTTAAAAGGCATAATCACATAATTGAACCCATACCCATAATGTATTAGTGACAAAATTAACTCTCATTTAATTTAAATCAACCAATTACCCGACCACCATAAGTATTTACACTAATGAGGTGACCAATCCCATATGATTAGATGGAAAGTTCATTAGATATATTCCCATTAAAAAAAAGAAAACACAGAATTAAAAATTAAGAATGGAGTCATCACACAGTGGCTGAGATGTTTAATATGAAGTCCTCATACTTGAATTAGTGTAAGGGAAGGTCATTTTAATTAGATATTAATAAAGAACTATTAGCATCTCATGAAAGAAAAAGAGCAGCCAAGTAATCCTATATAACGACACTGATGATCTCAGTAAATTGCCACGGTCATCCTAAGTGGCAGTCATTTCATATACTAACTGCGTAGAACATATTACTTTCAGCTCATGTATAACCGGTTTTATAATTTATGCATCATGTCTGAATGATTTAGGATATATAACTGTACATTGAGTCTCATCCATGAGCACCTTAGCGGTTTGTGTGTGAATTTCCTGGTTACTCTTCTCACAAGCTAGAAAAGACTGAGTATACACCGACTTCAGTGATAAATGCACACCCCCCCCCCCCCCCCAAGCAACCCATTCCCAAATAGCACTTATACTTTAGCTTTCACAAAGCAGCAAAACCACAGTAAAACCAAACACTGAATCATCTTCAGGACGGCTGTACTTTGCCAGGTTTCTTTTTCGTGATGTTTCTGGTACCCTGCATTACATAACCATGCTTTAAAACCATACTAACGATTTCAGGAGGCAAATCGAAATGCGGTGTCATTTAGCATGCTTATTTATTTCTCTGAATAGTCTCTCACGGGGCCAGCACAGTGGCTCAGGGCCTATGGTGACTGAGATACATTTCCTAAGCTAGGGGTTTTATTCCCACCCTGGCTCTGTATGTGATGAGTTTAAATGTTCTCCCTGTGTAAAATTCTTCCTGCAATTTAGATACCTTGTATCCCACCATGCATTGCATGTGACTGCATTAGTATGTGTGTCCTGTGACACACTGACATCCCATCCAGGGTGTGATCGGAAAGTTCAAGTCACACTTAGCCTTTGAACAAAGGCCTTAACCCAAATCTCTCTAGAGATGCTGCCTTGTCTCTGAGGTCCTCAGTTGTTCAACGACAAAAACTAAATTTTAGGTAAATCTGTTCTTATGCCCTGAACAAACCAAACACATCACAGGTCCAGGCCCCTCATGATGCAGTGATGGATGAACAATTGAATGTGATGGATGTTAAACAATTAGGTTTTAGTGAAACAGCAGACAACTACAATATGAGCTCTTATCGAACACTTTCTACCAAATAATTAACTGCTGGGGATTGATTTGTACATTAAAAGGAAATATCCAACAGCAAACAAAACAACACTTACCTGAAGATTGATTTGTAATAGTAAACATTAACAAACATTGACCATAGGTCAACATCTGTTAAACTGTGTCTAAGAACAAATGTTTCTATTCAATAACAAAGCCAAGCAACCAATCTTCATTAGAGGCTAATAAAATATGATACACTTCCTGAAGATAGTATAGCTACAAAACTGCAGGCAGAGCTCTACTGCTTGGTTTAAGGCCGCGTCATTCAATGGCTATCAAAAGAAAAAAAAATCAACTCCTCAAAATTGAAACAAATTAAACAAATTTTCCTAGGCTATGACATGGTTCCTCAATGGACATAGATTGTGGGTCAACTACAGCCAACAAACATTAAGATTACTTTAAAAAAAACACATTTATTTACACATTTTGTTCTTTAACACAATTTAAACAGTTTTAAAAATACAGCAGAAATATATGCTTGTGTATATGCTTGGCATAAATACCTACATAAAATAAATACATGAATAACCAAACACACAATTAAGTTGAGGTCACAAGGATTCGGAAAGTTTATCCTTCACCTTCTCCTCAACATTTACAAAGTACTTCATCTGGGCCAGAAGAACTTTTGCAGACTGAAGGTCTCCTAAGGTGTTCAAAAGAACAAAAAAAATATCAGAAAGCAAGAGGTTCATCTCTTTCCATCAAACACAGCTACCCTGCACAGGAACATTGGATATGGGGCTGATCAGTCATCTGCTAGCCTATACTCCATTGGCAGCACATAGCTCCCTGTCAGAATGAAACACGATGCACCAACAGCATTAAATTCAGTTTTAAGGTTTTACCCAATAGCAACTAATGATGCAACCAATAGGAATTAGGCAAAACCACTTGGAGGAAAAAAATTAACAACAAGGAATATTCCCTCCCCCTTTGGGTCTCACACATATCTTCCTTCACTAACTTGGGGATAATGAGGAAAGTGCAGATGAGACAGGCTACCTTTCCGGAAGGATGTATTAACTTGTTCTGTCAGATTTTCCAGCTTGCCTGGAAAGAAAAGAAAGGGGGCAGTATAAATTACTTCAGTCAACTGCTTTTCCTCCCCAATGACACTTTATCTAGCAGCAGATATAGAAATTAGGTTTTCTAAGTAAAACAATTTATACACTCAGGCTGAGATAATCCATTAATGATAAGTGACACATTTAGAAAAAAAATGTATCTGTTTTCCAAAAGCAAGCATGAAGCCCCTCTTAGGATTTACAGGACACAAACAGTGGGCACCCTGGATGAGACGCCAATGCGACGCACACAAAGGCAATTGAGAGGTTCCACCCTAAATGAAGTACATTTCTATAGACTGCGGGAGGAACTGGAACATCCAATGGAAACATGGAAAAACGTCCAAGCATAAATGCAGCATCGGAATTGAAGGTGAATGCCACAGTGTGACCCACAGAGCCCCACAGATCCCAATCCGTTTAACCTCTGACTGAAAGGCCGATGTCGTTGGCTTCCTCTATGTTCTGTGTCTTTGCCAGGCGCTCGTTCAGCTCCATGACTTCCAGGAGATGGTGCTGATCTGCCACAGAACCCGTCTCTTCCTCCAGACGCACGCCCCCTAGCTCCAGCTGAAAGAAGGCACGAGAGGGGATTGAGGGGACTGCCTTTTAAATTAACCAAAGAGCAGTTTATAAAACAGTGATACACAGCAGCAAAGAGGCATGGTCAGTCACTAGGTTTTTTTTTGGCTTGTTACCCATTTTGTTTGGTGAAGGAAAGGCAAACAGTATGTACGCTTAAGCAGACATGGGATTTTGTTCTCCGTTTTTACTAAATCCACACCGGAGGCCAGCTGTCAATCTACCAAATCATTTACGTCTAACTTCTGGACAATATAAAATTTTATGCACATTAAGACATTCCTAATTCTTTTCAGGTCCTGTGAACCACACATTTTTTTTTATCATTTTAGAAAACAGCAATAAACAAAGGGAAACACTTACCATATAAAGGCCACGACTTAAAGGTTTCTGAAGTGTCCTATACGCTTTATTTATTAGTGCAGTCTGTGTCTCCGAGTACTCTTGTTCTCTCTTGTTGGGGGAAAAAAAATCACAAAAATAAGATGCATGTACCAGTCAATAAACACAATTACACACTATTAGGTAGCAAAAATGCTAACACCACCAAGTCAGATAAGGGATTCCCTTGCAAGTCAGTACCTGAGACTTCTGGCTAAAGTTGTCGGGGTGGAGAGATCGCTGAAGGTGTATGTATCTCCGCTGCAGCTTTCTGATGTCTACTGAAAATGACTTGTCACTGAAGAGAGCAAGTATAAGACTAGGTTTTAGCCCAAGTAAGCATGGGAAAACATGATAACTGCATACACAGGTTTGGGGCCTTACTCAACTCCAGAAGACTGGGGGGAGACTTATAAGTCAAGGGGAGGCAGCTACCTAGGGTCCCCAAAAACTAAGGGCCCCTTGAAGACAGAATTTCCAGAAGTTATGTTTATGGGTATTAGACAATATTATAATTTAAACTATAGTAGCATGTCTTATTTGCATTTTAGCAACTGTTTTCAGGATAGACAAAGATGCCCACCCCCCATCCCGGCTGTCATGGACTATTCCTACTTCGAGCCTAAGTGCCACCAGCTTTATTTTCGACACTGGAGTCTAGTGGCAGGCTACCAGCTGTTTCACTGCCAAGTGAACCAGCACAAAGTAGCCTAACAGAGAAGATGATGATAATGATGATGATGATGCAAAGATACAAGTCTAACTTGATACTATCCCACTAGAGAGTAGTAGACAAATTGTGAACAGACATGGACAGAACACAAACAAACCTATGCAAAAAATCAAGACTAACCTTAGCTAATGCCTAGGGTTACAGCAAAAAGGGGGAATGGTTAAACTTCTTAAATTCAACCAATTGATCTGCTGGCGTGATACCCCCCTCCCCCAATCTGCAAATTTTAATGACAGAACTTCTGCACCCACCCAGAACAGTAAGTTTACCACTAGCACCCCACACGTTGATCAATGATTAGCAGATTATTGATGTTCCATCATTTTAATTCCCTCTAGTTTCTCTTCCAGCTCCAAAAAATAGCTCAAATGGCCGCCTGCCTTAGGGGGGGCCCTATCAATGTCAGCCTAGGGCCCCCAGACAAGCCAGTCCTCTCCTGCTACTAGTAAGACTCTGAATTATCCCACAAACTTGCCAACATTTTCCAAGATAACCGTACAAGTACAGCCAGCAATCTGTTTAGAGGTAAACAGGTATTAATGAGCAAAAACAATTTTATGAAACTAACTCATCCAACAGAGGGGAAGTAAAGGGGGGCAAGAGGATGATTACAAGAGCCTCTGAGTGACAGGGGTCCTACAAGGGCTGGAGCCCCTCCTAAGTAGCAAAAAGCACAGCACAGGTAGGGGAACTCTAGAGCATGAACAAAGACACCAAACTCCTACCTGAAAACCACAGCATCTGTGCAAAACATGCAAGCAGTAGAGGCTGGATTGAACCCAACAGCCCAGAATGTGTGAGGGGACAGTGCCGCCAACTGAGGCAGCCTGCTGCCTGACACTAATTAATTTAGAAATAAATTGGATATCTATTAAATTGAAGGCCTGAAGGGGTTAACGATAGCCAGGATAAATAAAATGCCTGTGAGAAATGTTTAATGAAGAAGTGGCACAGGTCAGAGACCTGTGTGAAGCTGCCCCCCATATGTTTCAGATTTTAACAAAACTGGTCTCAGACATTTGTGCTGCGTTTGCGAGCTAAATATACGGTTATAAATCGATAAAACATCGATAGATTATGAATGTATATTCAGCTCTATCAAGACATCCTTTATATGATCAATCTAAATGTAAATTATTTTTAATAATAAATATAAAACACACCTTTTTAAAACATTCATAAATATTTTATTGATATGAACGATCGTGGCAGTGGTAAGGGTGAACTTGAAACTTATGGCGTAACTTGAAACTGTATCCTCAGCCAACCAGCTGAGTGACACTTCGCAGGGGGGATGCAATTTAGAGGGGGGGTGCACTGTGGTAACGTCACCATGTAAACAAACATTTATATCTTATACAGTAAAGCCGCGCAAACAAAAGTTTCAACAGCATAAAACGACTGAGACCGGTTTGGTCGAAATCGGGTGCAAGTGGCGGGGGGGAACCAATGAGGGTTGTACCACGTCACCATATAAACATACATTATATCTCAGTAACTAGAGCAGCATAAATTAAAATTTCAATGGCACAAACGATTGAGAACGGTTTGGTTAAACATGGAGGGGCAATTAACTTCACGCAGGATAAATACGTAGCAATGACAGGAAGAAAAAGTCAAGTTCGTATCAGTTTGGCAAAACCACAAAGGTGACTGAGAACGAGCTGGGAGCGGAAGAGAGCAACTGCATCGATAATAATTATAATAATATGGGTAGTGAAACACAGAACACGCCATTAAATCACGATGTGTCTTTATTTTCGGGTGATTGTGTGGTACCATATACCGGTATTTTAAAGTATAAACTTTGCATAATAATAAGTAGACTGACCGTTATAAATCACAACCGTGGCAAAGTTAATTTTAAATTCAACATTCGATATATTCGACAAATTCAGCCAAGTGACACCTCACAAGGCTTCTGTTGGCATAACACCTTCAACGTGGTTTTATATAGAGAGTTTAAGGAAATAATCACATAAATCCATTTCGCCTCCTGACATTTTGACCCTTTCAGGTCAAAAAAACAGTTTAAAGAAGCCTTGTGACATCAGGGATATTAGTCTGCATGCATCACGATTGGTTCGACATAAATATATGTCAGTCAGTGCAAGGGTGAAATAATTTTTTTAATGTCGAAAATATCGAATATAAAAATTACTTTACCACGGTTAAATCGCATTTGAACAAAAAAGATCCCTTTAAATTCCCCCATGCCCAGGGAAACTTGACAAAAATCCACCTTTTCTCATAAGTTTGTTAAAAAGCTGATGGTGTGAAGTTGTCAGGGAAGCTGCTCACCAGTCCATAATGTCGAAGTAGGTCGAACGATCATCGGGGGACTGCACCACCTCGCAGTCCGGGCAGAAGAAAACAGGGGTGGCGCCCAGAGCCGCCCCACAACTCCAGCAGCTCCGATTCCCCGGAGTGGCACACAGACCCCTGCGTGGTCGGCCGCCAAGCACCGTGCCGGGCTTAATAGGGCAGTCCGGTGCATCGCTCCCAAGCAATGCAGAGCCTAGTCCGCCTGTGCTTTTTAAGGCGACGGTCGCGGCCGACGACATAGTAGGCACCATCTTCAAGTAGGGCAGCCTGGAGGAAAATGACGGCGTTACATTCCGGACGCCCCAAGAAAGGCACCTAAGGCCGGCCTTGCACAGCGCTTGCATGGCTAAACGGAGATACCCGCTTCCTGAACAGGGTCAGTTTTCCTGCTGTGGTATACGGCGGCATGTGGCCGTCGGCCGGAAGTGCATTTCTTCCTTCGGTCACAGGATGGATAAGCTGCAAATCAAAGGCACGTTTAAAAATTCGCATCTGCTTTAGGCGCTGGGTGTACGTCGTCACTACACAGGTAGGAAAAACATTGAAAAAGGTTGAATATGCAGCGGAAACACTACGTGCATTTGGACAACACAATTATCATGGAGAATGTACAGCTGTGAATATCGCCTTATCCGGTTAAAGGCTTTCTGATATTACAGAGCCTTGTCCGCGAATTGCGCACAACTGACAGCCAAAGTGGCGGAATCCGAGTGGACTCATTCGGGGGCAGTGCGGAAGTCGCCCGTGTTTTTGTCTAATCACAACAGTCTATACATTTGGACTTATTAATGGCGTCATTGATTTCACAAGTGTGATGAATAAAATGCCCGCTGTCGCTAGTTGTTATCAGCGTAGCACCTTTTTGGGGAAAATTATTTTGTAGCATTATATTATTTATATAAATAAACCCCAATACCCAGGATTCCACAGTACACGCGTGCTCAGACTGGCATATGTGTAATTTAAAAACTGTGTTACCCAGAATTCCACGGGTATTCAGGTTACATTCTGATTGGTTAGATTTTCCGGCGGCATGTGAATGTAATATGGAGTGTTGTCAGGGTTTCGATCGGAGCGAAGAAAATTTGCTTTAGGCACGTGTTTTGGAAACCTGTTGACCGAAACTTAAGGTAGGTTTAAATCGGGGATGAGAAATATCAGTTGTAATGTGCAATGTTCAGTGTCCTTATTCACGGGGTTGTGCTTATGCATTGTATTAACCATTCCATTTTCTTTAGCTATACTGTGGCTTTGCCTTTCATGACTGTCGCATAGCTATTCCTAGTTAATGTGTTGATGTGAATCGTTTACCGAGCCGGAAAACACTTTGGTCAGCTGGGAAAATAACATCTTCAGTCAAATATAGTATGCAGTTTACCTGATATATCAAATATGAAAGTGACTTTCGAAGTTAGTTTGATTGCTGACCGGTATCTCATTTTGAAGTGTTTATTTGGGTGTTTGGAAGTATGATAATGCGTGATTGTTTTTCGATGATTTGCTTGCATTGTGGTATAGCCATATTTACATAACAGGATTAGCGAAGTATCAACGTAGTTGCAAATGGAATGACTGCAACGTTTGTTGGTTGTTAGTGCAAAGTATCTATATGAAATAAAATGTAGTAGGCTGAAAGGTAATTAAAAGATTTTCTGTTAAGATCTGTATCGTATACAATAAAAAACTTCAAGATTTGTCCCCACACTGCTTTAAGAATCAATGTGAACACTGTTGGCATACTGAGGACGTGGAGTCGTTACCCTGCCTTTTCAACAAGGGCGCTGGTGTATGCTTCTTATGTTAGGACCAACGAAATGTAAACAAGCGTTTCAACCGGTGTGCTGTGAAAAACGCTGCTATTGGAAGGTGTGCCGTGCCAGGGTGAAAAAGTAGGGAAACACTGATGTGGACATACAGGTATTTGAAGCTTGGCATCACCTGCACAATCAGCTCCTTCACCTTGCTGACGTTTAGGAGGAGATCCTCCTGGCTCCAGCATGCCAGGTTCTCCACAACCTTCTGGTAGACCATTTTGTCGTCACTGAAGATCTGGCCCACCACAACTATATTGTCAGCAAATTTAACAATATTTCTGGAGTTGAATGTGACTTCATGTATAGGGAGTACAGTATGGGGCTCAGAACACAACCATGGTGAGTTCCTGTGTTGAGGGTGAGCCTCGATGTAGTGTGACTGGCCACTCAGTCAACCTGGGTTCTGCCTGTCAGAAAGTCAGGAACCCAGTTGCATCGTGTGATGTTCAGCCCCTAGTCCTTCAGCTTACTGATGAGCTTGATGGGAATTATAGTATTGAAATCGGAGCTGTAATCAGTGAACAGGAACCATAGGCAGTTCCCCTTTCTGATGTCCAAGTGAGAGAGCAGTATGCAGGGTAGTTCTGTTGCATCATCTGTGCACCTTTTTGCACGGTAAGCAAATTGTAGTGAGTCAAGTTCAATGCACAATTTCACATCGCAATTACATGCCACATGCACGATAATCACCAGGGCTTTAGATGACGGCGTAAGCATTTATCTGAGCGTTGTCTTTTTGGTACTTTACAGACATTTACTTGCAGTACAATTTGGTAAGCAGATTAGTAGTGCACCTAAAAATAGTTATGAGTAGCGTGTGGTGACACCCACAAGTTAGTAATCTGTGTAAATTTGGCTTATCCTTGTACTTAATGAACATGTCAGACTTTAAATTTCAAAAAGTCCACCACACCACCAACATCTTTTTACCTTGTTTATCCACAATATCTCCTCTTTCAAAGGATGATGTGGCTGCTGATCTGCCCCTTTCTTCACCGCCACTTCAGTGCTTATCGCTTCCATGATTTACCAAAACAGTAGCATGTGGCACTCCGCTAACTGAATTTAATAACTATAAGGATATGCTGAATTTATACAGATTACTAATTTTTGGGCATCACAGTACATATTTTAGGCATACTACTAATCTGCTTACCATATTGTGGGTGTAAGTAAACATCCATGTAGTACGAAAAAGCTGGCATCCGGACAAAGTTTTACGCCTGTCATCTGAAGCCCTGGTGATGAAAGGGCATGCGCCATATAATTGCGAGTACATTGTGATTTGTTATTGTGCAGCAGTATTGGGCTGTGTTGAGCTGATGTAATCTTTGACTTGTAATCTTGTAATCTTCTCAAAGTGAATAATTATGGAGGTGAGTGCAAGCCATTTTGACATGCTGGGGGGGTGGTCTTCTTGAAACATGTTGGTATTCGGGCTTGGGACGGTGATGAGTTGATTATGATCAAGAACACTGCAGCTAGTTGGTCTGCAAAGGCTGTAAGGCCCTGTCTGGGGATGCCATCTGGTCCTGTTGCCTTTCTGGTGATCGCTCACTTGAGGGGAAATATCATTGTATTGAAACCATGGGTTTAAAAAATGAGGTTACCTCACTGTTCTATAAGATAAACCTCTGTCTTTATGTTAAGTGCTCTATTTTCATACTATAACAGCTAAAGTGTCCCTATTGTCCCATATCCAGCCTGGCTTCTCTGTTGATTCATTGGGTTTCATCTGTGGCTCATCTAGCTTATTTCTTTTGAGGGTACAGAGCCATGTCCCAGAATCCGGACTCCAGTCTGTCTCAGACCCAGTCCCAACCACAGACTCAGTCTCAGAGTGGCTCTAGCTCTTCCTCGGCCCCTGGATCTGGCAGCCAGACATCTTCATCCTCAGGCTCCGGCACACTTAGCTCTGTGGACACCATCCCTGTGCGGGATCTGGCTTCCATTCCTGAGGAGCTGGAGGAGCCAGAACACCAGCCTTGGGGCCGTCTGCTGCCCATGGAGAGGGGCTTCCGAGTGCACAGTAAGTGGGGTTTGCCCGAGTGGGAAATAGGGCAAAACATTTTATCAGTGTCATTTTTTCATCAGTCCATATCAATAATTATCACAATGTTGTTTTTTTCTTTCTTTGGCACAAGTTTTTGGCGGAGTTTATAATACACAGCAGCAATCTGTTGCATGTAGAACTTTATATATCCAAGAGCACGAATACATTGTGTTTACAATGGGAGAAAGGTTTACTTATGACACATATAGAGTTAAAAGAAATGCTTTACCAACCATTGTCTGGTGGTCACCAAACTG